CACACTGCCACCAAAACCTGGTTCAATGACCGTGGGATTACTGTGCTTGATTGGCCAGCAAATTCGCCTGACCTGAACCCCATAGAGAATCTATGGGGCATTGCCAAGAAAAAGATGAGAGACATGAGACCGAACAATGCAGAAGAGCTGAAGGCCGCTATTGAAGCATCCTGGTCTTCCATAACACCTCAGCAGTGCCACAGGCTGATAGCTTCCATGCCACACCGCATTGAGGCAGCAATTGCTGCAAAAGGGGCCCAAACCAAGTACTGAGTACATGTGCATGCTTATATTTTTCAGAGGTCCAATATTGTTCTATGTACAATCCTTGTTGTATTGATTGCATGTAATATTTTAATTTTCTGAGATTGTGGATTTGAGGTTTTCATGAGCTGTAAGCCATAATCATCTTAATTATGACAAATCACGGCTTGAACTATCTTGCTTTGCATGTAATGAGTCTATCTCATATATTAGTTTCACCTTTTAAGTTGCATTACTGAAATAAATGAACTTTTGCACGATATTCTAATTTTTTGAGTTTCACTGTATATTTATTCCAGCAATATTCATATAACCATTTCATATTTTTTCTTTGTTTCCACTTAGCCAAAATTTACCCATGTAATTTCAATAAAATTTCATTCCCTTTTTAATTATAATATAATATTCTCATTATAAATATTTTACATTCCAATATGATCCCTTCTAATTCATCACATTTTTTTATTTTCTCATATCCTTTATTTAATAAATTATATTTTCTATTTCATGTATAAAACAAAGAAAAGAAAGAAAAACAGAAGATTACCTTTCCCTTTTTACTTCCCTTTAACCAATTTTAATCTATAAAGTTTATATAATTCACACTTTTTAATCATGATACCATATTTTTGCCCAGTTTATCATAATCTCTGTTTTCCTAATGTCATTTAAGTAATCGATTTCATATTTTAGGATATGTATATATAAAAAAGAATGGATTAATAATAATAAAACCCTCTTAATGTCTCTCACTCCATCTTCACTTTTCTCATATATAGTTATATAATACTCTTAGGGTAATTCCCAGTAAATTTTAAACTTCAAATCTCCCCAGTCTAAATTTCGAATAAAAAATACCAAAATACATTCCCATGTGGTATCCCCCTTTTATACTATATCTAACCCTTATCTCTAAATCTCTCGGCCTTGTCATTTCTCTTAGTTTTAGCCAGCGTTCCCTTTTCTCAGTTTTCCCGGTCTTTCCTCTTTCTCCCTCGTTTTTCCTCTAACATTGTTTTTATTTCCATCTGCCAGTCACCCATCTTTTCCCCCACCCTTTCCTGTTCTCTTTTTTGAAGTTTCTTCTTGCACGATTTCTTCTTCTTTTGTTTAATCCTGGGAGCGTTTTCTCTTTTATTTATTACCTCTGTCATCACTGGCATAATTTGTTTAATCCTGGGAGCGTTTTCTCTTTTATTTATTACCTCTGTCATCAGTGTCATAATTTTGGTTCCTTTAATATCTTTTGGCAATGTCTCTTGTTCTCCATGCTCATCTGAGCCACTTTCCTCTTCCTTTAACTCCTCCTCTCTGGGTTTCCTTTGTTCTTCTGCGGACTGCATCGCCATTTTTTTTTTTTGCCAGTATATCCAATAATCCCCTTCTTTCTTTTAGCATTCCTCTAACAATTTGCAGTTCCGACTTAAATTCTTTGCTTATTTCTTCCATTTTTAAAAATCAATTGAGTTATTGAAGTTCAAAGTTTTTTATTGCAATCCTTGCCAAAAGTCTCCGTTTGTCTCTATTTCCCTTATTAATCCTTCTGTTTCTTTGTCACAGTCAACACAGTCAACACCCAACAGTCAATATTGCATTTGTTTATTCTCTTGCTACAGTTCCCCCCCCCCCTTTTTTTAGGTTTCCAGGGTTCTTGTTATGTTATAGTCTTTTATCTCATATCTTTTCTCATTCACACATTTATAAGACCAGTGATTTTCCATAAAATCATAAAGAAAAAAAGTCTTTGACCATTAGATGGCGCTGTATATCGCTTTCCACTTTTCAAAGTTCTTTTCCTTTCTCTTTTCAATTATATTAATATTAATTTTCAACCATTTCAGCCATTGGCTTTTTTAAATATAATCAATTCCAGGCAAGTCCAGCATTCTATCCAATGCCTAATTAATGCCAAATTCTATATATTATTCTGAATTTAGTCTCTAATTTTGTTGTAACTCTTTTATAATCTGGTTTTTGTTTACCTTATATTTTCCTCTTATTTTCCATTCGCCGCTGTCATACTCTTAAGCGAGGGCTTCTCAGGGTTATTGAAAGAAGGTTCAAATTCTTTTATCTGGTTACACGCTGCTCACCACTTCACCGCTCCAGCACACACTTGGGTCTTGGCAGCTTCCCATCTTCAGGGCAGCCATTAAACTACTGCTTCTCCCTGTCTTCCAGGGGAGTATACCTAGCCAGGGAGGGGAGATGCAGCTCCCTTCAACCCAGCTGGTGGTCTCCCCCTCTTCCCCCACCCCTCTGAGGTGGGTCAGATGGATCTGGTCCTGTAGGGACCCTTCCAACAAGGTAAGCATGGATCAAAGCCACACACGATCGCAGTTTCTGGTCCGTCTTTGACGGAAGCGACACCGGGAAGCATACAGGTCACCTTCAAGAAGTGAGGGGAGCCAAATGTCAACTCATAAAATATTTCTCTGGTCTTTTTAGAGTTGCCAACAGAAAGGGAGGGGGAGTAGTGCAGCAGCTTGCAAAACCGAAATTGCATTCCATAAATGTTTTCAAAGATAGTAACTAGGTGACTGAAGTTTCTGCCGCACAAAATTCTAACTGGAGAGCATGATTGATGACTCTTGGCTATGGATGTGTCCCATTGGAGAATATGAATTACGATACACCCAGGGGGTGGGGGGAAACCATGATCAAGGGTGACAATGAATTATGTGTCTCAGAGTCAGCTACACCCAGGCAGTGCCGGACATTTTAACTCCGAATAAATCCTTTTGAAGTTTTGGAAGTTTGGCTCGAAACTCATGATTTAAATGGGGGTAACTGCCAGAATTCTGATAAATAAACTACTCAAAATGTACAAATAAACATTTCTGACATTTCAAACAAAAAACTCAATGACCAATATAGACAACCTTCTTTTCAATAACAGTCATAAGCCTTCCATTCATGGAGTCTGTCAGTTTCTTGATTTGTTGACGATCAACTTTTTGTGCAGCAGCAACCACAGTCTCCCAGACACTGTTCAGAGAGGTATACTGTTTTCTTCACCATAAATCTCCCATTTAAGAAGGGCCCACAAGTTCTCAATAAGGTTTAGGTTAGGTGAGAAAGGGGAGTGTGTCATTATTGTTTAATCTTTATGGCCTTTACTGGCTAGCCACACAGTGGAGTACTTTGATGTATGCGATGGAGCATTGTCCTGCATAAAAATCATGATCTGTGTTGAGGTAATTCCCCGTTAGGAGAATGAGCGCATACAGGGAGAC